TATAGTGCAATATTAATGTAACATCAGGGGTTGTGCAATGGTGAATAGAATGTGAAGGATGCGTGTTTTTTATTCTGTGGTTTTTATATTTACAAGGTGCACTGGGGGTACCATTTAATTTCGTTGTATGAGGTAAAATGACAATAAAGTTTACAACAACAACATGATGGCAAACCTCACCACTCTGGTTTGCAAAACCTTTTCCTCAACATAAAAAATAACTAGCTGTTTAAATTTGATTAAAGTTACGGAAATGAATTCATTTGTTAATATAATTACTTCCTGTGCATTGAATAGCTTTTTTATCATTAGCAATTGAACTTCTGGCAATTGGGGGGGCGGGGCGGGGGGGGGCTTGAGATTGCATCCGAGGTTTTCAGGACCTGCCTCTGGCCCAGGGGCCTCTGGTGTAATTTATTGTGGCCTTCTTGTCTCCTAGAGAAGAAACAAGGGTAGTTCCAGGCTTGTAAATTTATTAGACATTTTGTAAGATAGCTTAATCATTTGGACTAATAATTGGTTTCAGACAAAGTGCTGAAATGGCAGAGTAGCAGTAAAGTGATATATTTGCATGGGGCCTGTGAACAATAATTCCTCCAACTGTGATCAGGAATTTGCCAGCCACTCCCTTGAATTTCTCTCATGGAGAAGATGGATGCATATTTGAGAGGGAAATGCAATCTTTGAGAGGAACTGACTAGTATGGACAAGTCAGTTTCTTCCTCATTTTTTAACAAAAGCTGACGAATCCATTCTCGTTCTCCATTCCAGCTTTCCTTCTCTTTTCTCAAGGTTAGGATGGCCAGACCAAGCTCTAGGCTGCAGATGTATCTCTTCATCCTGAATCAGCCCCTCCCAGTAAAGGGGAGGGCATGTAGGCTTGCCTAAGCATATTCTTAATAACATGGATGTAATGAATGATTATTGTTATTGTTGTTGCTTTTCCATTACGCAGGAGTGATTGATAGCTAAGTTGCAGAGGGTTATTTTGTGTAGCTTGCCAACTTGGATTTAAAGTTGCAGTGCTGGGATTTTTCCTGTCCTTAGTAACCTTGGTCACTCCTCCCCACCCCCCTTCTCCCCATATAAAGCATTAGTTATTCCTTCTTGCTGCTTCATTTTTTTGAACTCTGGTTTTAAAGGATTGTCTGCTTATAGCTTTCTCCTGCTGTTCCCCGGATATAGTGTTTCTTGACTGCCAGGTGTTGTTATCTTGTTCAGCTTAATGCCGCCTCTGTCTGTTGCTAGGTATGTGAGGTGTTAATCCTTTCCTTGAAACATGATGTCTGCCCTAGCCTGGTAGGAAGCCCCCTCCTTTCTTATCAGTCTTCCAAGGTCTCTGAAAACAGCTGAAAATAGCCTGTTCTGAATCATTTGGGTTTCAGAAATGACACAAGGGATGGGAAGGGTAATGTTTGGGTTTTAAGACGCAACCGATAACAGCTGCATCCTATCCTTAGAGATAGGAATCCCTAAGAAGCATATTCAAAAGGTCTGATTCAAGTCATTCTGCTTTGCCACAGTGAATGGTGACTGGCTGGACACAGACAATACGTGAAACTACTGTAAAACCAAGCCACTTTTATGGCTTAAGCAGTAGTGGGCAAAGTACAGGTAGTCCCCAGTTTAAGAATGAGATCCGTTTCCAAAGTCTATCTTTAAGTCAAATCTGTATGTAAGCCGGAACAGTATTACTGTATAATACTGTACTAGTAGTATTGTGTAATGAACTTGAACCATTGTGTATTTAACTTGAATCATTGTGTATTTAACTCAAATTTTGCTACAGTAGGTTCTGTTCTTAACTATGGGCCGTCCTTAAACCGGGCGTTCTTAACCCAGGGACTACCTGTAATGCAAACAGCGTCATGGCCTCACCTCTTTTCTACATGCATCATGACATTGCGCACACACCCTAAAAGGACAGAGCTTGCGCCCTAATGCTGCTTTCATCATGCTAACGAAAGCAGCAAGAGGCTGCTGCACTTGAGGCAAAGTGTGAACCTAACCTACAACTGCCTGCAGTGATGTAGAGTACAGAAGCTATTTGTTTACCAGAATGCTTAGGACAATATAAAGGCAGTGCTTCTGATGCCACACAGACAAGATATGAGTTGGAAATATGACTGTGAGGTGTTCCCAGTTCTAAGTCCTAATGAATCAGTGCATTGCCACCCCTTGAGTACCAAATAAAGTTGCAGGTGCTCTTTTACTCTTCTCACTTACAATGTGGAGAATGAATGAGAAAGCTGTAGCCTTTCTTCCAGTGGAAAGGTTAAGGAAAGCTGTGTAGCGGTAATCATGGGAAGGAGGAATGCAGCAATCCAAGATGGAGTGCTCGTTCCAATTAGAGCTTTCTTAATGTAACTCCCCTCGCTTCTCCTCTGCATTCCATACCCAGGGCAGCAATTGGAAAGGCACCTTGAGCAGCCATTAACACATCAACTGACAGTCGTCATGGATTATTTCAAAGTGCATTAAGACTTAATTGAACAGCACTGATGTGCGCTGTATGTGGCTATCTCTTTAACCATCAGCAGGTGGGAAATTACTTAACATTGCTGTAAGGAAGACTGTGGTCAGAAGAAAGGGAAAACTAGATGCTATGGTAATCTAATTCCCCAGTTTGCTGTACAGTTACTCCTTTTGCTAAGATGTGATTGGAGCTATATGCAGAATACATAGCAGATCTGATAGAGACTGGCTGGTGAAGAAAGGCAAAAGACTCCCAGCTGAAGCATATGCCCATCAGTACAGACTTTAAAACATCAGTAAACCTAATTTATTGATAATAATAAAAGATAAAATAATCTCCTGGCTTTTGCACAACTTTGGGTTGTGCATCAGTTACGCCCTTTCCTGGATCGGGATGCCCTTCGAACGGTCACTCATGCCCTTGTTATCTCCCATATAGGCTACTGCAATGCACTCTACACGGGGCTACCCTTGAAGAGTATCCGGAAGCTACAGCTGGTCCAGAATGCAGCCACGCAGGCTATTTTTGGAAGGGCCCACGTAACACCGTTGCTCCGCAAGCTGCATTGGGTACCACTTTGCTTCCAGGTCCAATTCAAGGTGTTGGTTATCACCTTTAAAGCCCTACATGGCATGGGACCAGGTTACCTGAGGGGCCGCCTCTTCCCCATGACTTCAACCTGTCCCACCTGATCACTCAGAGAGGGCATGCTCTGGACCCCCTCGGTAAAAGAGCTCTGGCTACTGGGGTCCAGAAGGTGGGCCTTCTCTGCTGAAGCCCCCACCCTATGGAATATCTTGCCCCTGGAGGTGAGATTGGCCCCCTCACTCCTGGCCTTCCGGAGGGATTGAAGACCTAGCTTTGCCACTGGGTCTGGGGTCGGGAGGGGAGACATCAAGCATGGGGATGGCTAGCACCTTAGAGGCTGTTGTCTGCAGCTCTGGAAACCATCAGCCTCTTGGATTTTCTCTTTTTTCTTTTATGTGATTGTATATATATTTATTATTTTAATGGGTTATGTGACCCGCCCAGAGTCCCCCATCAGAGGGAGATGGATGGAGATAAATTTAATCAATCAATCTTTAAGCTAACAGTAGGTAATCTTTCAAGTAGGGGCTTGTTGCTTATTTATTACAGTTAAATCCCTGCTCTTTGCCCAAAGCATCTTACAGTCTCCCTCAAGGACAGTTGACATAGCCAAACCTAATTTGCATCCCCAGGAGAATTACTGAAATGTGCCTTCAGACATTTTGGGGGCATTGGCTTGGATGTTCCCTAAAAAAATGGAGGAGAGAAGTCTGCCATAATCAGGAAACTGCTGGCTGCTTATTTACTTACTTCTAAGGTTGGGTCAATGTTCTCTGGTTATTTGAAGGCCTTCCTGGTAAGTTCAGGTGACAGGAAAAGGGCAGTTTTCTTATACTAGTTTTCTTCTCTCTAGGATCAAACTACACGTTAGATACCATTCTCTCATTGTAAGACCATGTTGCATGCAAAAAAAAAAAATTGCTCTTTTGTGATCTACTACGTAGTGTATTTTTTGACTATGTGTGTTAGGCAAGCATGCATCATAAATTATGCTAATCCCTTGTCTGTGTAATACCAGAAAATCCCATAGACTATCACTGTATTAAAAATTGGTATAAATGGGTTGAAAGGAGTGGGGTGGGTATTGCAACCAGTATTTTTGCAAGAATGATACATTGCAATTGAAGTTGTTCTGGATATATTTTCTTTTGTGAAAAGCTTGCCTTCGGATTGAGAAGATTAAGATATTGAGAAATTAAGATATTGAGAAGATATGCAGTTTTTTTCCTTACCTAGACTGATTCACTATGATA